AGTCTGGGCTTTGTGCAGGCCAGTCAAGGACTTTCACTTTGTTCTGTTGAAGGTAGTTCTTTACCAGAAGTGAGGTATGCTTTGGGTCATTATCATGCTGGAATACAAAACGTCGACCCAAACCAAGTTTTGTTGCAGACTGTTTGAGGTTATTTTTCAAAATCTTCTGGTAGTTTTCCTTTTTCATGTTTCCTTCAACCCTGATAAGATTCCCAGTTCCACATGCACTGAAACATCCCCATAGCATTATACTCCCACCGCCATGTTTCACTGTGGGAACGGTGTTCTTTGGATTAAATGCCTCTCCCTTCTTCCTCCAAACATAGGCAACATCTCTATGGCCAAAGAGCTCTAGTTTTGTCTCATCTGACCAAAGTATACGTTTCCATTATTCATTATTTTTCTCTAGATTGAAGACAAACTTCAGTCTAGCTTGGAGGTGTCTCTTTTTTAAAAGAGGAGTCTTTCTTGGTCGACAACCTTTCAGTTCACTCCTGTGCAGGGCTCTAGTGACCGTCTTTGCTGAGACATTAATTCCAGACTTGGCTTAGTCATTCACTAGTGTCTTGGCAGTTGTTCTTGGGTCTTTAGAAACCTCTCTTACTAATTTTCTTTCCAAAGTTTTGGAAATCTTTCGCTTTCTACCTCTGCCAGTCATGTTCTCCACAGTGTGGATCTCATTAAACTTCTTGATAATACTTCTCACGGCACTTCTTGACACTTGAAAACGCTTTGATAAACATGTATATCCTTCTCCTTCTTTGTGAGCCTCAACAATTCTTTTTCTCAAGTCTAAACTTATTTCTTTTGTCTTTGTCATGATGACAGAATGCATTATCGTACTATTTGTTTTTCAAGACACCGGTTTTAAGCTATAAGTGCAATTTAAAGGCTTAATTAGGTTAATTACCTTAACTAGGCAAGTTAGTGTAATTAGGCAAGTCATTGGACAACAGTAGTTTTTTCCTGGAGCCAATCAAACAAATAATTACTTAAGAGGGCTAATAATATTGAACTTAGCAGTTTTTACTTAAAAAAATAAATAAATAATTATTTCACCCAAAATAAAAGAAAAAAAACCTTTTCCAGAAGAAAAATACAAAAGGAAATGCCGTGAAAAAATTTTCTTGCTCTGTTCAACAGCACTTATATAATAAGAAATATTAAGAAATATTTGTAAAAGAATACAAATTTCATAGGAGGGCTAATAATTTTGACTTCAACTGTATATATATATATATATATATATATATATATATATATATATATATATATATATATATATATATATATATATATATATATAAAATCCTATTTTGAAACTAAATTAAAATGCAAATACAAAAGTAACTTGGTAAAAAAACAAGCAAGTACAGCTGAAGTCAGAATTATGAGCCCCCCTTTTGATATTATTTTTCCATTTTTAAATATTTCCATTATGATGCTTAACAGAGCAAGGTAATTTTCACAGTCAGATAATAATAATTATAAAAAGTATAAACTTTCACAGTATGTCTAATATCTTTTTCTGCTGGAGAAATTCTTATTTGTTTTATTTTGGCCAGACTAAAAGCAGTTTTTACATTTTTTAAATTCATTTTAAGGTCAGAATTATTAGCCCCTTTAAGCTATATATATATATATATTTTTTTTTTTTCGATAGTCTACAGAACAAACCATCATTATACAATAACTTGCCTAATAAATTACCCTTACCTGCCTAGCTAACCTAATTAACCTAGTAAAGCTAGGTTTTAGAAGTGTCTTTAAAAGTGTCTTGAATAACATCTAGTAAAATATTATTTCATAAATGTGTTGAAAAAAGATCTCTCCGTTAAACAGAAATTGTGGAAATAATAAACAGAGGGGCTAATAATTCAGGGGGGCTAATAATTCTGACTTCAACTGTATGTATATGAAGAGTTTGGTTGCAAAACGCCATAAACGTCATTTTTTGACATTTGGATTTTATTATTGGAAATCACAGTTCAGATGTACCTTAATCTATGTGTGTATTTCTGCCCTTAATAACATTTAAGAATGTACATTTTAGGCCGAGTACAACATGTATTTTTTCAAAAAACCTAAAATCAACGTTTCTTTTGATATCGAATCCACGTTGATCACCGACGTTGATTAACATCGTTTTGCTCATCGGGGTAATGTTAAAACGACGTCAGGCACTTCATTCAAATCTAACCTGAAATCGTCGCAATTGGTTACTTACCCAACGTTGAATCAATGCTGATTTTCAGTCGATCGAAACAACGTTATAGAATCCACGCATTTTCAACATATAAACGACCTAATTGGTTTATCTAACGTTGAAATGATGTTAATTTTAGGTCGATTGGAACATCATAGAATTCACAAATATTCAACATATAATTTATCCAAATGATTTAAAGTTGAAATGAATGCATAAACAGCCTTTTCAACATTAAACCAACAAATATTACATAATTACAGTTTTTTTAAAGGATACATAATATAATTTCATCTGTATATATGACAAAACACACCACAATCTGTCATCATTTTTTATTTATACAAATATATAGCTGTACACATTCATCAAGAGCATAAATTCATTCAACTCTTCTATACACACAGTACACTTAAACACAGAGAAAGAAAATTTAAATTATAGGCTAAAATAGTGAAAACCAGTTACTCAAAAATAAAACTGTGGAATATTAAATACATTTGTCTATTTGTGTTCTATTTCAACATGTATTTTTATTAGAGTAAAAATTCATTTGATTTTTAGATGTGCATAATAACAATTTACTATTAGGGTCAAAATACAGGTTAAAATCACAATACTTAAGCTGTTTAAAGAACAACATTTATTGAATTAACTGAGAAAGATACAATATGCCTATCACAGAAACTAAAATGCAGATGCAACCATAGAAAAAAAAGTATTCTCGTTGGATTAGCAGGGTCAATAAATAAATTAAATAAAAACAAATTAGTTTTTTAGGTGGTGTAAAACTGTTGGGAAGCCATTTATTATATTTTAAGCACATTATTTACTAGAATTTTATCCCGGATTTTCCAGAAATACTAAGTATTAGTGACCCAGACACTTGTCTGAGAACAAGCTTGAAATATTACAACCACCGGTAAGAATTGCAAGCTTGTTTTTAAATTTCAATTACTTTTTTCAAAATATCATTGTTTAATGACTAAATGCTATAAATAAAAAACAGCGCTGCGACCAAAGAATGTAAATACTGAATAATCCTATGCAATGCACATGGTCCTATTATAACGTTTGTCTTATTTACAAACTACAAACATAAAAAACATTGCAATAATTTAAAGCAATGAAAATCTATATGTATACTATATATAAATCTAAAAAAAAATAATACTTTAAACGGCGTCTCGTCCGAGCTGAATCTCTGCGGTCACCGCACAGACTCTGTAAAGCTTCTGTCAAATATGCACTGTATATGACAGACACAAACTCAATAAAAACGTGATGTTTGCAAAACTGCTACATTATTATAGAGCATCCGCTGCGACGTAGATAGGATCTGTTGTCAGGCTTATGTTCCCTCTAATATTTAGAGATTTCCTCTGAAATCACTGTTATAAAATTACCAGAATTTCAGTATCTTTCCTAACATTTTTCTGTTCTCTGAAACTCTGAATATTTCACTTTAGTTTTATTTAGGATTTATTTTTATTATAAGTCATGACTAGGCCCACATGGAATCTGTGCGCGCAGAATTCGGCAGATTTTCCACAGAATTCCGCAGATTTTTACCCCATCACTAATTCTGTTTATTTACTTGATGTGTAAATCTAAATTTATTGCGTTTTAAAATTAATTACAGTAATATTATTGACTAATATGAAAATGTTAATCGGATTTAAGTACAATGCAGTTTGTAAAGTAATATTTTCTGTCTTTTAATAGATATATTATATGAGAGACTTGCTTTGTTTACCTAATAAAGTGAATCTATTTGGATTTGCATTGTAAACATCAAATAAAAGTAAAAAAAGGTATTATTTTTATTTCCCATATTAAGGTTCTAGTTGGATACTCCCAAAAACATTCTGCAGAAATCCGCAGATGTCTACCCAAATTTTCAGCAGAAATAACAAAAAACATCTACAGATTCCGTCTGGCCCTAGTCTTGACTGCAACAGTAACGCCCCATTCACACGGGGCGTCAGCGTCAACGCTTCCCATTCACTTTGAATGGGTGACGTCAAGCGTTGCCGAACTGCATTGTGGATCCGTCGGCGCCGCTTCAGATGCGTTGCTCGCGGCAGAAGTTGGGACTAGCTCAACTTTTCAAGCGCCGATGGAGGCGTCAGCCAATCAGATCGCTGAATGCAAATATGGCAGCTAGACAGTGGGCCTATTGCTGACTGAATTTCATTGGCTGACGCTGCGATGACGATCACATTAGCCTCAACTTCAGGCACGCCTTCAGTCAAGCGTTGACACTGAAGCCCCGTGTGAATAGGGCGTTAGTGGCAAAAAAGCTTAACAAAACAGACTTTTATTTTGGCATGGCGTGTGACGTCATCAGGCGGCGCCACGTCAGCGCTGTAATTCAACTGGAGTAAGGTTTGTTTTAAAACGTTTACAGATATAACCCGATTGAAAGTTTTAGTTTTTATATGATGCTAAATTATGTTACTGCTGTTGGAAATATTATTTTAACCCTTTATACAACGTAGTACTAATTTATTCTCAGTAACCGAGGGCTATTTTTTGAATAAAGTAACAGTAAAGTGTTTAGTAAGTGTTTTAAAGAAACGTTTTACCTAATTTCTTTTTGTTAATTACTCTTATATAAAGAAACTGTTTAAGTAGTTAAGTGTTAAAGAGAAGTTATTTTGTTTCTTTTCATAATTTTATTTATTTTAAACAGGACATTTTTATTGTTTTGTTCATTTTAAACAGGATAAAGTGTCCAAACACAGAGAAAAAAACTCCTCCAGAAGCGACTGATCTCCACACTGTTATAAAGATGGCATTTATTAAAGAGGAGAGTGAAGATGTGAAGATTGAAGAAACATTCCGAGTCAAACAGGAAGATCCACAGGAACAAACAGGTTGATTTTTATTCTCAGGCCCCTTTTACACTAGTGCACTTTAGTTTTAAAACGATGTCCACACTAGCATTCCACAGAGCTTTTCTGAACAGCTCTCTGTCCACACCAAAACACTAAAAACGCACATCACCTGACCACACACACACTCTCAGGCAATCGATGCAGCATTTCTACCCAGATGAGAGCTCTGCTCGTCGGACTTGCTCATCAAGCATCTTCCGCAGGATCTAATCTCACTATATTTATTAAATGTGCGATTTCATTCATCTTGTTGTCTTTATCTAACGACATATTCCCCGACTTTGGTCATTGGAATCTATTACTTGTTCTCAGGTAACGTGTTTTGGCTAAGCGCAAAGATAAGTTAATGATTAATGTAACCATGTAGCCTACATTCTGTATATTGACAGATCGATTGCCTTTATTTCCTATATTGTATAAACTTATTGTCTGTTATACTTTTATAATGGCTATTATAGATTATTAAAACTGATATTCAGCAAAAGAGAGGGCATGTTTTGTATTTTCACTGAAATTGAAAAGAGGCAGTTGTTATAGGCTCCGTTTTGTTATTAATATCCACACAGTGAAGATGACGCTCATAAATGCAGCACAACCTCTCAGCATTTCTGCTGTCTGTTAAGTTGCTAATATTAAAAAGAAAATAGGCAGTTCCTTAAATCATGTTTACATTTTATTGTTGAGAAAGTGAAACAACGTAGCCAGGGTGATGTGAATGAAGTTATAAAGTACACTGTTCCCTTTGAAGATTTACCCGTGTCCTCGGTATAGTCTGTTTTCCATATGAAACTGAGGAGGGGGAGACTGCAGCCTTGATCAAACTTGTGAAGTTTCAACTTACAAGAAGAGGATGCGGTACTAAACTGTGTGTTAGGCTACTTAATATTGAGGAAAAGCCCCAATCAGAGAGGCGAATGTCGGCAGCCCCGCCTCCGTTTTCAGATGTCTCTGTTTTCCCCATCCACACTGAGACGGAGCAGCAGCGTTTCAGAATGAAAACGGCCTCTTCAGCGTTTCCAAAACGCTCGTTTTCGGCACTCGAAAACTCCGGCGTAGTGTGGCAGATGGCATAACCGTAGCAAAACTTATGCATTTTAAAACGAAAATGCATTAGTGTAAATGGGGCCTCAAAGACCAACTCAGTCATCTGATCCTCATTCAGATATATTTTATTAATAAGAATACTAAATTTAATCCATCTTGCAGCCCTGAGTGTGCTGCCTAGTTCTCCTAAACGCACAAAAGCACTCATTGAAAGACAGGAATATGTTTGCATATGTCACGTTGATCACAATTCCCCTTTTTTCATCAACTTCTTCATGGGTTTAAACTTGTTTCTAGTAGTTGTTACTAATTCTCACAGATAGTATCTGAATTAGAATTACATCATTATTATAATAACTATTGACCAGGGCTATTGTGTTTAAACAGGGTTTCCTTGGAGTCTTAAAAAGTCTTAAATTTACTGAAATGTTGTGCTGTAGGTCTTAAATCTTTTATAAACAAGTATTCATTTTTCCTTTGGTCTTTAATTAAGGTTCATGTTTTTCTACCCAATCTGGCCAAAACCCATACAATCACCATCAATCTAACTCAATAAAAATTTTATCTTATTATTCAAAAAGGTCATTTTAACTTGTTTTAAATTATTTATTATAATGCTTTAATTATTTTCCTTACAACAACATTTGTTTAAACGTGCTTCATGTATTTACTGCTAAGGACATTGACCTGGACAGACCTGTGTTTTGCACAGGTTTAGTTTATTATAGTTTTTAAAACTTTTAAAACATTTGTCCATTTGTTTTTTTATTTTAAATAAAGTTTATTTTGGAAAAAAAAGTTTGTTGATACAAGTATTGCTTGCTTGTTATTACACAAAATTTTAAATCTTGCTAGAAATATCTAAAATATATACATAAAAATTACTATTCATTTACTATTGTATTATTAAAATTATTATATTTTTGATAGGGCAAATAAAAATCTTTTCCATCTGGGCCATTTTACACGGTATTTAAAATCATTTGAAAGAAATATCTAAAACATTTTAATTTTATTATTCATTTATTATTGTATTATTAAATGTATTAAATTATATAATTTTTTTGATAGAGCAAATAAAATCTTTTTCATCTGGGCCAAATAATTGTTATAAAACATTGTACAGTATTTTAAACTATATGATGTTGCTGTGGGATGACACGTGACAAACCGAACAAATTATAGTGGAACAACAATGTTTAGCATTGCACTGACAACAACTGGCCAACAAGCTAGTCTAAAAATGACTTTTTCTGCTTAAGAAATGGATTACAGCATGCTGATGATATGCAAACATTTGAGTGAAAAATTCGTCAGTATTGACCATATTCTTCACGAACCAGCAGGCTGCGCCATTGGAGTCTTTTTACTTGAGTTTTTTTTTTTTAAAGAATTAATTTATCCATCATAAAAACAGTGTTATGCTGCTTAGGCATGAGACAATAACTGCTTTCAAGGTATGCCGTTTGGAAAAATCAAAGTTTTAAAACGGCCAATATTTTCTTCTGTACCATTCCTACAGTATATCTAAGTTTTTTTTTTTTTTTTTTTTCACAACAACAGTATCTCCAGCAGATAAAAGATGTCATTTTTAATCGTAAAGAAATGTGTTTTTGAAACTAATGAAGACAGCAGAAGTCAATGATTCATTTAAATTTTTTAGCCTGACAAAAAAAGAAAAAAGACTCAAAAGAAAATATATTGTAATATAAAGTTTTTGTTTTTTACCCAGACATTCATTCATTCATTCATATTCTTGTCGGCTTAGTCCCTTTATTAATCCAGGGTCGCCACAGCAGAATGAACCACCAACTTATCCAGCAAGTTTTTATGCAGCGGATGCCATTCCAGCCGCAACCCATCTCTGGAAAACATCCACACACATTCACTCATACACTATGGACAATTTAGTCTACCCAATTCACCTGTACCACATGTCTTGGGACTGTGGGGGAAACCGGAGCACCCAGAGGAAACCCTAGCAAACGCAGGGAGAACATGCAAACTCCACACAGAAACACTAACTGAGCCGAGGCTCGACCCAGCGACCTTCTTGCTGTGAGGCGACAGCACTACCTACTGCGCCACTGCCTCGCCACCCAGACATTTAAAAATAATATATTTTAGAGCAGTAATCTCAGTACCTCAAAACCGTGATATTTTTATTCAAGCTTATCATACCATCAGAATCTTATACTGGCCCATGCCTAATGCTGCTTGATGTTGCAAAGTTATATTTTCTTATTTTCTTATTTTTCTTTGTATGTATAGTCATGAACATGTATAGCCGTTTATTATTCCAGGTCATTTCTCCAATAGGCAACTGAATTGTAAGTTTTAAATCAATAGCAAATGAGATCAGGTCACTATGACATGATTGAGAATGTTTATATGTTGCTGTTTGTCGTTGTACTACGTCTATTCTGAGAGCTGATGCTGAGTATTCTTAGGAATTTTCACACTTGAAATTGTTAACCCTGGGTCATTCTAACCCTGGATAAACAGAATCCTGGGTTACCTGTAAATACGTTTCACACTGCTCATGCTATACCTGGGGTTATAAAATAATCCTGGGTGTTCATTAACAGACAGTTCACATTCGCAAACACCGGGTTAACAATATTATTTGTATATTTACATTGTCACTGTCCCTGATTGGACAAACAGCAGATAACCTTTTTTTTAAATGGCATTTCTGCATTTTGTCAGGTATATAAAATGTCATCATGTAGGTCTTCAGCTAAGCCTCAGGACATGCACAAAGGCAAGAAAACAAAAACAAAAGTACATATGAATGAATACCAGTAGCAAAGTATGTCATCTTGCCATATTCTCATCACTTCAATTTACAGCAAACATGGCATTAAGCATTTGCACAAGTTCATTCATTCATTTACCTTCGGCTTAGTCCCTTTATTCATCAGGGGTTGCACAGTGGAATGAACCACCAACTTATCAAGCATATGCTTTAAACAGCGGATGCCTGTCCAGCTGCAAACCAGTACCGGAAAACATTTGCATAAGTTATATACAATAATGCAAACTCACAAATATAAGCTGAATTATGCGCACTTGCTATGAACATGCAGGATTTGTCTCAATCAGGTTTTCCAAGAAAGAGATGCACATGAGGGAACACAACATAAGTAATCTAGAGCATTTGATCATTTGCATTTACAGCCACAGGCACAAAAAGAGCTTGTTTTTTCTCAGACCTCCAAAATGAAATATTCTGCAAGGTATATGATCTGATTTTGAGCTGAAACCTCAGACACATTCTGGGAACACCAAAGACTTACTTTACATCTTGTAAAAAAGGTTCATAATAGGAACTCTTTAAAGGTATTTCTGACCCAGAAATGTAAATAGCCTCACCATTGACTTTCCATTGTGTGGTTTTAAACCTTGATGAGTTTCCTGATTCCGTTGAACACAAAATAAGATATTGTGATAAAAACGCTGGCTTACTTTGTGTTCCAGAAGAAAGGAAATGTTTAAAAGCACATGATGGAGAGTAAATAGTAGAGTCCCTTTAATATTTGGGGTAAATATCCATGTCATGCTTACCACTTTGTGCTTTCATACTAAAGTTCACTTTTTTTGTTCTTTTTTAAAGACCTGATGGTGCTGAAAGAAGAGACTCATCAATGGAATGAAATGGAAGAGAAACAACAAGAAATAACGACTAATGAAAAACCCACACTCACTAAAAAGACTTCATCACGCGGAAGACCTCGGAAATCCAAATCTGGGTGTAATTTCAGCTGTAAACGGTGTAGAAAGAGTTTCAGTCAAAGGTCAAACCTTGATGTTCACATGAGAGTTCACACAGGGGAGAAACCTTACACCTGCAAACAGTGTGGAAAAAGCTTCTATACTATAGGAAACTTAACAGTGCACATGGGAATTCACACTGGAGAGAGGCCGTACGCATGCCAAAAGTGTGGGAAAAGCTTCTATACTACAGGAAACTTGGCAGCGCACATGAGAATTCACACTGGGGAGGAGCCTTATTCTTGCCTACAGTGTGGAAAGAGTTGTAAGCAAAATGGGAACCTTGAAGTCCACATGAGAACTCACACTGGAGAGAGAAGCTTTATTTGCACACAGTGTGGGAAAGGTTTTTCTCAAAAACAAAACCTTACCATCCACATGAGGATTCACTCTGGAGAGAAACCTTACACATGCACAGAGTGTGGTAAAAGTTTCAGATGTAAAAACACACTCGATCACTACATCATAAGTCACACCGGAGAGAAGCCGTTTGCATGTGCTCATTGTGGAAAGAGCTTCACAACCAAAGCTAGAATCATGAATCACACGAATGGTCATACTGGAACCACATGTGATCATTGTGGAAAGAGTCTCACATGCAAAGACTCCATTAAGCAACACATGAGGACTCACTCAGGAGAGCGTTTTCGATGTAGTGAGTGTGGAAAGGTCTTTAAACATAAAAGAAGCCTCATCAATCACATGAAGCTCCACAATGGAGAGCAAAAAATGAGGCCTTGTCCAGCGGAGCTTAAGGCTCTCTCCCGGGATAGCATGGGATAGCATCTCGGGACAAGTGTGAACTCTTGAATACTTATTAAGTTACTGGAATGAAACCCTTTGAACCTGAAGATTTAAACTCAATAACTGAAGAGGGGTGAAGATGTACCAGGTTGTGAGAGTTTCTACAGGGCTGCAAGAAAGCAAAATTACTTTATATGTGTTTCAAGTTATTATGAACTGAGAACCAAATTTGTGCACATTGCACACTGCAATCAAATGATCGGCTCTGAAAAGAGAATTAGAAAGATTAGGGAGGAGAAAATATTTGGGAAGATGCAGGGAACACTGTCCTACACCCTTATGTTGTGTTTTTGATCATTCACATTGTTTGATCGTCACTCCCTGGAACAAACACCAATTTGCCTCCAATTTTGGGCTTTTGTCTGCAGTTTCAAAAAACTTGTTGGTGAATAAAAATCCACCTAAACTCGAGCGGTGTGAACTTGCAATGACAGTGAAAGACTGATGCAAATTCCATAAAGCCCTGATCAGACTACACAATGCCATTTGCCAGTTACCACAGATCAGATTTGTGTCAGATTATGAGATTCTGACTTGATCATATCTTGATGTGTTGTGGGTACAAATGAAGACTTTTGTTTCAAAACACTACACATTTATTTTGATGGGCTGATTTAAGAAATGAAACAAGTATTCTTCAAGAAGACAATTAAACTTTCTGTAGACAACTGCTTGCCTTTAAATATATGTTCATGTGAAAACTCCCACATTACTACAAATAAATCAGTGTTTGGTAAACCCAGTGTTGCTATTGTGAAGAGATCATGAGTGATTTGTTAGCTTACATGGTAATTCCAGTACTCAACAGACTACTGAAGCACTTCAGCTACCTGTTAATTCCAACTATTATTTTTATGCAATACATATTGTGCTGCTCGTGCACTGATAGATTATCCTGTGTGCTGTCTGCAAGTGGTGTGTGAAGGGGATAGTTTTAGGTTTATCTTGTTAAAGGTAAATTATTTAAGTTAACAAGTTATTTAATTATTAACATTCTTATGGTTCCTATATATGTTTGGTGGGCAAAATAAAAGTTGAAAGAGGATACTTTTTTTTTAGGCCTAGCATGATTTTAGGCCTATTAATCTCAAAGTCACACTTTAAGGTTCAAAAACCTGCATTTATGAATGAAGAATGTTTTGCAAAGCATAAAAGTTTGTTAACTAAGTAATGTTGTGCACAATTCTTTTTAGTTACACCAAATGTAACTTGTTTGCAGTAAAAAACATGGATCATAACATTAGACATTTATTGACGAGACATTCTGTCATGTACATGAGTATATGCAATTGTAAAAATATGCTCAGTGGTTTCAATAACTTTAACAAAATTCAAAAGTTCTCCTCAGTATCAACTTTTAATCTCAGGAATTCTTTCGATGGAGACACATCATTAATAATTTTAACTGAAGTTAATTTTGGGGAGAATTGAATAAGAAATGTTTTTCTCATTCCTGTGAATTAAAATCTTTATAAATCTGATCTAAATAGGATGAAGCCTTTGAATAAGATTAAACATTACAGAATAGTGTGAATTAGGCTTGGAGGGTATCCAGATTTTGATACCGTCAAACCGCCTCCATATTTTACCCCGGTATCCGGTATTACCGGCGTAATTAAAAAAAATTATGACGTAAGGCTCAGACAGCGTCACCAAACTGTTAGCTTGTGCCTAAACCATTCAGAAACTGAATACTTTATATGCGACCTTAGGCTCGCGGTCACCTGTTTGTCTTGTTTGTATTCTTCTGCGCGGGACACTCCTCTCATTTGCACGCAGACACACACACACAGAGAGAGAGAGAGAGAAAGAGAGCGCGCCAAGCGACGCACAGCACCGCTCTCTCCCTCTCTCTCTCTCTCAATTCAATTCAGTTCAATAATAATAATAATGATTTATTCAGAAATTTCAATAATGATTTACAGCAGTGGGAATGCAGAGAGCTGTAATCGGGCCATAAAAATTAGGCACGATGAAGCCTGAGCCTGACAGGTACATTTTGATTGACAGCTTTATAAAGCCCGAAACCGTTCACAGCCCGACATTATACAAATGTGCTCATGCACACAGCTCTATTGCCTTTTTTCAAGAATGAAGTTGGAACAAAAAAATAAAAATAAGTCCTCTGTAACTTAGGTATACATACCCTTAGCCATTAAATTGGCTAACACACCGATGAAAAGAAATCTTGCTTAACAAATCAAATTAAAATAAACTCTAAATGATGACGGGTATTTTGGCAAAACCGAAATTAAGATAAATCCTCAATGCGAGCCTCAATTCGGTCATGGCATATCGTGGTTCATCCAGTGTGATACCCAATTCATCACCAGCGCTTCCCACACATAAAACTTTACCTTAGCGGCCCGGTTCTGTGTGCATGAGAAAAGTCTCCGCCAAAGACTCGCGTGCTGTGCTACTGCAGCAGACCCACAGAGATGTGCTGGACACCTGCTCTGACTTTAGCTTTGAGAAGAACGCGAGGACACACGGGAAAAAAAACCTACTATACATTATCTTTTTCCCGGACATGTCCACTATTTGGGACTTAAAAATTGCATTCAGCCAAGATTTCTAAATCGCCAAACATGTCCCGGATTCTGCTTTCTTTAGCGGCGTTTCTTCAATATTTTATACGCAAACTTTCAATCTCAATCTGTCAGCAGCACCAAGATTAGAGAGGGAGCAGATTTGACCTGTCTGTGGTGCAAATGGATAGTAGGAGTGAAATAGTGGATTTACTATTCGTTATTTCATTTTTTTTACTTGAACACTCTGAAAGGAACAGTGTCGTGTAAAATGCTAAACATTTTTGTTGTTTTAAGTGGTTTATTCATAAACTAATTTCAAGAGGAGCACGTGATTATGATTGAACACAGCTGGTTCTGCATTAGCATGCATGATCCACCAATCAGGTCATTCCTAACACACTATAAAGAGCCAGGGTTTTATCACTACAGTCATCTTTGATTTTAAGAATCCCCCCTTTCACCCCTACCTTTTCACCTGTCCCTCCATAGGGCAGCACGGTGGTCTAGTGACTAGCACTGTCGCCTCATAGCAAGAACGTCACCGGTTCTAGTCCTTTAACAGGCCGGTGGTCGTTTGCATGTTCTTCCCGTGCTTGCGTGGGTTTTCCCCGGGTCCTCCGGTTTCCTCCCACATTCCAAAAACATGCACAACAAGTAAATTGATAAATCTAAATTTGCAATAGAGGTAATCTCATAATGCAGCATATCTTTTAATAGCATTAAAGTTTTAGTCATCAGCTCTTATCAAGGGGGAGTTGTCGAGATCTACCTGAGCTCGAGGCTCCCCTCTCTTCCTCTAAACGGGAGGGAGCCCAGGGCTCAAGAACCTTCGAGCTCAGGGCTCGCTCCCGGGACAGCGTGCCAAACTTGCTTATAATCAATCATCTGCTAAGTGTAAACTCTTGAATTGTCTGTTAAATAAGAATAAGTAATCATTCTGTTGCTGATGGCCATTACAGTTTAAAAGAAAGAATGGTATTACTTTTGGGGCAGAAGGAAAATTTTATCAGAGACATTCCCATGTTTAACTATTCTTTAAAAAGCCAAGAAAGATAAAGTGCTCTGATAAACTAGTGTCAGCTTTGCACATCAGTTTGCAGTTATTCACATTGTCTAATTTTCCCATGTGGGCAGTAGGGTGGAATCTGTGCAAATATGCAAATATAATGAATTTTGAAAAATAAAATAATTCTTATAAGTCACATTATTTCAAATACTGTGGAGAAAAGTTGTGTTTCAATCCAGCCTCTGCAAGTATTTTTAAGTTAAATATAATATGTGCAATATATATTATTATAAAATTAATAATGTTTGGTAACATTGATACAGCCATAATCTTCTTATGATACAAACACAGATGAAAAAGCTCTGATCAAGTAAATGTTTGTACTAACCATACTGCACATTTTTATTAACTTAACAATTATTTATTTCTGCTGCCCAGTGTGAAAGCTATTTTTCAGCTCAACTGGATCAAAAAATTATCAAAAAGCTGTGTGTGAAATTGACATTTTGGACACTGAACCTTTAGCAGTTGTTCAATTAACAATATTTTTTTCTTAAGTTCCTGCTCTCAGCAGTTTCTACTATTTGCTGATGGTAAAAATGAATAACTGAAGTGACCTTTAATTAGCATTTTGCACTTTTTAAAAATGTATTTTTGTTTATTCAATTGAGATATTTTTCAGGGTCTTAATATTTATTCTTTAATTCATTTTATATATTCTTATGTAAAAGGTTCACATTTATGCAACCAATAGTTAATAAACTGGTTGTTTTTTCCATACTTACTGTTGCTGACTTGTTCTCAGTTTGATCTAGCCGTTCATACATTAGACTCAACAAAATCGGTAAAAGTAAAGTATTCATAATTTGTGCTGATATCGGATTTATATCGGTATCGGACTGATGGCTGCAATATCGGTATCGTATCGGAAGTTATATCGGGACATCCCTAGCCTCCGCTTCGTTCTGGTTGCCAGGTGAACTGAGCAAAACCATCCCTGTGCAGGACCAGAGATGGATTGCCCACACCCTATTTCCCTTTGGCAAGCTGCGGCCAGATTTACAGCTGTGGTATGAGCCCCCTGGTCCAGCTCTTATTTACCACCAGACACCAACACCTGACAGGTTCTTCACCCACCTGTTAATGTTGAGAATGCCCTACCACCTGTGGAAGGTGAGGTTTTCCTGCCCAACTTGTGGCAAGAATCTTATGGTTATGGTGTCCACAAGAGGGCTCGAAAGGTCCTGGACATTGACAGATACTACCTGATGTTGACTGAGACACTCAGGTGCACTGTGTGTTCTCTGAACTATCTGTCAACAAGTCAGACTGTCCGGGACCAGCTTGACCTGCCACACCAGAAAATGTTCAGACTGATTCTGACCCGCAAGTAAGAAGAAAATGTGGTAGTTATGTAGACCTAAAAATATAACTGACCCTCCAAAAAACCTGCAACTAATCACAACAACAATGTGCATTTTAGGTATGCCTGTGACATCCGTGTCATTAGGTTGCTTCGGGACAGGACGTTGGGCAACAGTCCGGCTCGACTGGTGAAGCAGCTGAGAGAGAACCATGGGGAGGAATGGCAGAAGAGGTTGGCACACTATCTTGAAGAGAGTGCTGACTTTGTTGATCGACCCAGCCTCTTTCCCGTGGCCTGCCAGGAGCCTCCAGAGCCCATCGACATTCCCACCAGTCGTTGGCTACTCTCAGGGTATGGCAGGGACATCCCCTCAGGGCTAGACCACATTAAAGCCAGCATCACATCCATCTTTGGGACTATATTAAAGATGGATTCTACCAAACAGGTAATGCATCACTGACTCTGTGTTAGGCTTGAATGTTTTAAAATACTATATTATTGCCATATTATTGTTGGCTGTGATAAAATTCTTTAAAAAAGGTAATGATTCGTACTCAAGTAATTGCTTCGTACTGTTTTTATTTTTTTTCTTTCTCTTACATTTTACGGGTAATTAAAAGACACAGACGTTTCGGCACAAAGCTTTCCACAGTGTGTGATACAATCCTCTCATTCCACCCTTTTATCCCATAGTCAATCACAATGTGCAATTAGTTAGACCACCACTCTCATTTCATTATCTATTATTGATCACATAATAACTTATAATCTTCACAACAATAACAATAAACAATCTTC